TATGGAGCGGAATACGCGGAACAATACAAAAAGTAGACTTTTTAATGTTATTTCTTACGTTTTTAATAATTTTAATGATATTTTATACAAATAATATAATATATGATAAATTAGTAAAGAGTAAAATTAGTTTCTCAGTAAAATATTTTTTACGAAAATATACAACTATTTTATGATTGGCTACATAATACGTGGCTACAAAACATAATTTCGCTGCCACGTTTACCGCTTCACGGGACAGACGGAAAAGTACATCAGCGAAATTACGGTGATACATTATGTAGTATAATAAAGTGAGATATGTTGTGATTAATTATGGAGAATATATTATGTGATTTTTGTCGACTGTGGCTGTTAATTAAACATATAAACATATTCACATATTATATATAATTGTTTACTACAATTATTAAAATATTAACATCTTACTTACGATCCCTCCACTCATTATTTCTAAACAAAATAATAAAGAATATCGAAAAAAAAAATATATATAATAAATGTATAAGAAGCAAATGAGATATGTAAGATATGTTGAGATTATACGCAACTATCTTTATCCTTTCCGCAGCGGTAAGATTATAGCGAAACGGCACAAAAAAGAGCGGAATAGTTGTAAAAAATAGTTGTAATTGTTCGTACTGGTTCCGTGTGTTCTGTTCCGCGGAGAATTTCCGCCCCATGAGATATTGGCCTAAAAGTGCGATTTCACGTAGCGAATAAAAGCTGGCGTTTCACCCCACTCCATCAATTTTCACCGAAATGGAGAATAAACGCTCAAAAGTTCGACACAGTTCAACTTCTAGCGATTTAAGTGATTGTAATAGATCAAGTCACTAGATCAAGTGATTGTAATTAATTAAGTAAATAAAATAGGCCATATAAACCCGATAAAAAATTTTTCATGCATAATTATGTATGAAATTTGTCCATACATAATTATGTAAAATCATATAACATTTGTAACAACCGAACTCCGCGTGTCGGTTGTTTAGTGTATCGCAAGAAATTTCGCTCGTCGGAGTTCGGGTTCGAGTATTGATTGACACCAGCAAATAACAAAAATAAATAAAAGTTTATTAGGTTTTCATGATACAGAACAACTGTTGGAACTTCGCGTATCTCAGCGTAAGACGGCGCCAGTAATCGGGTCGCGCTCTCGATCGGTCGTGTCCCGCGGTTCAGTAGGCGGAGCGTATAACGCGAAAACGGTGTGTCGCGAGAGACGGTGTCGGCAAG